TGAAGAAAGTAAGAGGGCTGGCTTTGGGGATTTGGGTGAGGGGAATATTCCTGCAAAGCAAAACCAAAAGCCACTACAAACGCCCCCATGGCAGGTAGGAGAGGAACAAGGAAGAGAGCAGTGTGGCCTGGCAGAGCATTGTAGAGAGCCAGTGGGTACTGGGGTCAGAGAGATGACCAGGGAGACATCATGTAGGCTCTTTTACTTAGGAATCTTTGGAAGGCTCTGAATGGGGGAGTGGCTGATCTGCATTGTATTTTAACAGCATTGGCTGCTATGTGGAAAACTGACAAAGAGGAGACAAGACTGCTGGCCACAATCATGGCATGGTGTGTGGCATGATGGTGGCTTGGACGACATCAGGTAGCAGAGGAGGTAGCAAGACGCTGGCCACACGCTGGCCATATTCTGAAGGTAGAGCCAATTGGGTTGACCGGTAGATGGAATATGAGATCTGAGAGAGACAAATCAAGGAGAACTTCAGATTTTTAGCCTAAGCAACTGGAAGATTGGAACTGGCTTTAAATAAGAAGCCAAAGGCTTGGGGCACCTGGGTGGCGCAGTCGGTTAAGCGTCCGACTTCAGCCAGGTCACGATCTCGCGGTCCGTGGGTTCGAGCCCCGCATAGGGCTCTGGGCTGACGGCCCAGAGCCTGGAGCCTGCTTCCGATTCTGTGTCTCCCTCTCCCTCTGCCCCTCCCCCGTTCATACTCTGTCTCTCTCTGTCTCAAAAATAAATAAACGTTTAAAAAAAAAAAAAGAAGGCAAAGGCTTGAGGAAAAGGACAGGATCAGAGGAGGAAAATGAGCACATTTCCAGCTCTGTTAGATTTGAGATGCCTCGAACACAGACTCCCACAGCTAATGTTGTAACAGAACTACTCAAACTGCTTTAAACACTTATTTTTTCCTGATTATTGAAATAATATGGGCTCATTGTAGAAAACCTGAAATAAATAGATAAAATAGAAAACTCTCTATATTTCTGCCACTTGACAATTGCTACAATATTTTGTGGTATTTTCTTCCTTCTAGATACATTATTTTAGACAGATTGAGAAATATCATTTATAAAATTTGGCAACCTTTGTTTTTCATTTAATTTCACATCATTAAACTCTCCCATGCCAGTATACAGTCTTAGAGATATTTTCAATGTCAACACAATATTCCATTTTGTGGGCATACCATAATGTACCTGTTTGCCCACCACTGGGTATTTAGCTATTATCTGATTTTTTGTGTGTATTATAAAACTGCTTTGATGACCATCCTTGTGTTTTGGATGCTAGCATTTATTAAGTTAACTTAACTGTACTTCTTTTAGTTTTTATTGTGCACCTGTGAAATATGCTAGGTGGACAAAAGTATTTAATATCAAAATTAAGGGTTTTGAAAACAAACTTGACTTGTTGAATCCACAAAGGTCCATTTATGAAATGTCTCCTTTTTCCCATATAAAAAGAGACTTCTTGAGCTGTTAGAATCACATAGGGATTGGACAGGGCTGGACATTAAATACCACAGCTCAGCTGTGGACTGGATATTCTGCTGAGGTCTCACCAATTATGAAGGGTCTTAAAACTCTGCTATCAGAGGGACTGTCCCTCACCCCTGCTGCAATAAGATTTCTGAAAAGTAGGTTAGAATAGGTCTGCTCAAGGTGAGTGAGTGTATTAGTGCACTTAGAAATGGGTCCTGTAGATTGGTGCCACAGTGAAAACTTCACCGATGGTCAGATGGTGGCATAAGTGGATACCTCTTGGGACCAGACATTGATCTAAGACCTTCATGCATCTAGGAGCCTACAGTTTTTCAGGGCAAGAAGGAAAACACGATATTCTTTCTGCCAGACGATTTGCAGCAGGGCCTCACATACATAACACTTAGCTAAGTCCTCCAAACCC